ACACATTCATAACTGAAACATACACATGGTTAAAGGTGCTTTGTGGGCTCTTTGTGACATTCATCATGTGTACAAAGAAAAATGTGGAGGGATATACACAGAAATGTTGCTGATAATGGCCCAAACTAGATACCACACTAAGTACCCATCAATTTAAGAAAGGCCCAATAAGTTTAGTAAATTCATATTATAGAATACTATGCAGCAGAATAAAAGGAGTCCACCCATTCTCTAAGACATCTAGGATATAGTGTCGAATGAAAAAAGTGAATTATAGAACAGTAAGCATATACAGTACGAAACCATTTATTCTGAAGCACATATCCATACTATATATTCCGTGTGTGCGTGTACACATAGGAACAAGGTTTTGGAGGAGACAACTAACTGCCTCTGAGGTAGGGCAAAAGGGTGGGGGTTGTGGTTGGAGTCGTAAGAAACTTTGGTCTTATTTATAATTTATATATTTTAAAAAGAGGATTGTAATCACTTACTGTCTATTAAAAATACTCAAGCAAAATTTTATATCAAAACTAATAGAAAAAAAAAAAAGAAATGTTACTCTTTGTGGCTCTTCCCAGTCCTTGATATCACCTCTGTCATTCTCTGCCATCTCTGACTTCCTGGTCTCTCCTGCTTAGCAAGAGAAGACTATGGCACCTGGATCCTACCCTTTCTTCTGTCTCAACTGAGGCCACTACCCAGGTTGACTCCTATGGTGACATGGATGACCCATCCAATATTATGGGTCTGAGTCCTCATCTGCAGGGTCTCCTCGAGCTCTCCTCAGCACACACTCCCACAATCCCACCTGAGACTTTGCTACCACTGGCATCCATTGACATGGATGACCCATCCAATATTATGGGTCTGAGTCCTCATCTGCAGGGTCTCCTTGAGCTCTCCTCAGCACACACTCCCACAATCCCACCTGAGACTTTGCTACCACTGGCATCCATCTCCAAAACTACTAGTGGAAGTTTCTTCCTTCCTCTCCTTCCATCTTACTTGCTTAATGACTCCCACAAGTGCTACTCTTTGTTGGGGTCTTTGATTATTTTCTCACCCACCTATTGATTAGGTCTCTTCTGACTGTCTTCATTTACCTCCTGATCCCATTTTGCTGACACTTCCAACTCCCTTGTACCTCTCTCTGGAAAAATGCCACTTTTGGATGAACCCAAATGCTTTCTCCATGAAATAATACACAACCGTACCACCATAAATTTCTTTGTCACCAACCTCAACAGGGTCCTTAGATTGCTCAAAGATCCTCTTCATTTCTTTCAGGCCTAGAACTTGCACCAGTGTTACTTACTCACTGCTCCTCACTACAACTCATCTCCTCAAACGTGTCTTCTCCCCTCACTGTTTTTCAGCACACCATGTTCTCACCTCCACAAGGTAGTAGCTACCTTGCTCAGAACCTCTTTGCCAGCTGGTACATCCATTCCGACAACTGCTTTTGGTGTTGGTCGTTAACTGCTCACAGTTTCCTCCTTCTCTGGAGGGTGGTCCATGATCTCTGCAGGACCCTTAATAAGCCTCACACTGGGACAACTTTGAGACATTGTTCATGCTCCAGAGCTCCCCAGGAGATCAGGTTGAGGAAGATTCCAGCTGAGGCCATATCTTGCTGAGCTCATTCCCCTGCCCTCTTCTGCTTATTCAGTTCCTGACATTCCTGAGAACACTCCTTCAATAAGTCACTTGCATGAGAATCAGTCTTAGACTCTGCTTCTAGGGAGGCTGACCTAAGACAGCACCTCTGCTTACCTTTCACTATCCTCTAGAGTGTAGTCACTTCTCCTCCGTAATCTGGTTTATCCTTCAATCACAGATCAAATTCTCCCTTTTTCAAGAAGCTTTCTCAGACTTCAATCTTCAAGGAATTGTCATTTATTGAATTACTCTTGCTCATGACTATAGAAAAAGACCCCATAGGCCTATTACAGCAGAAATTCTGAATCTTTTGTGTGCCATGGACCTCTCTGGAAGGTTGTTGAAGTCTTCTTAGAAAAGACTATTAAATGCACAAAATAAACAGGAGTACAAAGAAAACCCATTATGGTTTTTGTTTTTGGTTTTTGGGGGCTGCCAGCTGGTAAGGGGATTTGAACCCCCCCTTGATCTTGGTGTTATAACACGGAGCTAACCTATTATGCTGACATATAGTAATTAAAAGGCTACTTTGTAATATAGTATATATGTGTGCTTGTATGGCTATGCTGATCATATTGCTAGAGCTCAGGGCCCACAGACCCTTCAAACCTGTTGTACTGGCTGGGTCACCAGACCCCTCACACACAGGTCCACAAACTAGGTAATTGAGAAAGATCCTGGGAGCCATTGGCAAACAATGCGAGCTCAGTCCTCAGCTTCCTCAGCAGCAGCAGCAGCAGCCTCCAGCAGATACAAGAGCAGCAGATACAAGAGCAGTAGCTTGCAGCAGCCTCTAGCAGCAGTAGCTGTCTCCCTGTGGCCCCCTGGGGGGGTGGTGGCTGTGGATCAAAGCCACACATCCTTTATACTTAAGTTCGATAACCCAGGACACCTGGGTGAGTCAAACAACCCAGGAACACCAGGGTGCCCATACACAATTACATTAGATAATAACCAAGGAACACCTGGGTGCATGTGCATATTTACGTCAAATGCTTGGCAAGACTCTGAACCCCCGAGGGACCCTGACCATTTATCTTTACTTTCCCTACAGTGCTGCTTTATTAATGTATTAAATAACAATAGCATTGGGTCAAAAAATGTAAAAGTAGGAATGAGAGTAAATGACATGTTAAGATATCTGCCACAACTGAAATATGTATGAAAATATCTACAATTTATATTAGCTACTAAGTCAGGGGTACTACACTGTGACCTGTGAGTAGCACTGTGACCCATGGCCTACATTCAAAATGAAAAAAAATGCTAAATTTCAGTTAGTATTTAGTGAGAATAAAGTCATGATTTTTGGATTTACCCCATCCAAGTTCACAGTACTGATTTCTATTCATGGATAGCTGGGTGTTCTGTGGACCCCAAGTTAGGATCCTTGTACTGGAGGATTTGTAGGCATTGGAAACTAACTAATTTAATTCACTCAGCCTCTCACTGAACACTCACGTACAGACAGGTTATTAATTATACCTGGTGCTAACTGGAGGAGGCTTCATAACAATTAGAAGGGAACAAGATGGTATCACCTCCCTACCCTGCCTCAAGAGATTGGTTAGGAAACTTTTCAGAAGCTTTGACTGGACTTCTTCATTATCAAGCAATATTGGTCAAAGATGCCTTCATGAGGACTTGAAGGCCAGAAGAACTTGCCAAGCTCATGGAGAGAACACAGTGGCCTTCAGACAACAATAGTCTCATCTCGTTGGCCTGGGTTACTTGATAATCTCCATTAGTCCCTCTTACCCTGGTGACAGCCACACAGTGTTATATCAGTCAGCAGATTTTTTTTTTTTTTAGTGTTAGGCTGAGTTCAGCCCTGTGCAGAATTTAGAGATGGAAATGATGTTCTAGTTGCCTTAAAGAAAATTAATATTTTGTGGACTGAAAATTAGATTATTTTCAGAGATTGGATCAAGATGATATCTTTCTCTTCTTTCCCATCCTAAATTTCCTGAATTAACAGAAAATGTAGTCTTTTTTTTTTTCAAGAGTAAATCTCCTACTTTTTCTACATCAGAAAGATATTTAGATAAGAAAAATGGTGGTGAATGACAATAGTAATGCGGAAATTGGGACTAGGCAGTCTCGGGGGCAAGATGGTGGTTCTCTCTGGTTTTGATTTGTTTCATGGGATGAGTGGAGAAAGAGGAGTATGTTACATTAACTATATTAACTATAATAATGACAGCCTTATATTTACACAGTATTTTTCATTTGTTCAAAACTCTTATACATTACTTAGTCTTCTCACCCTACTACTATAGAGCAGAATGACCCATTTAGTGGAATGCAGAGAAGTAGGCAGAAGCTTATATTTGGTTCCCAAGATTAGAACCACTGTATCCTCTCTCGGGCTGGAAGAATGCCCTGCTACCTTTCCAGCTGGTTGATGTATACAAATGAGTTGCTTATCATACAGAGAACCTAGCTAGTGGTTCTTAACCTTTAGTGTTTATCATTTAGGAGAGCCTGTTAAGAATTATCTTCTGGGGCCCCAACCTTGAGATTTGGATTCAGCAACTCTGGGATGCGACTCATAACCCTGCAATTTTAACAAGTGCTCCTGGTCTACTTGCACAGGTGATCCAAAACCACACTTCCATACTGAGTTAGGCAAATCTTCTTGTGTCATTTTGTTTTTAAGCATGTCCATGTCACTGGAATTTTAAAAATTGGTCTGAAATTCCCCTTAAGACATGCTTGAACTAATTTCTGGCACCAATTATGGACCTGTTCTGGGGAGTTCAAGTCTGGGACACACTATTAGGGAAATAATTGTCAGAGAAAAGAACAAGACTCTATATGAAAAACAAACAAACAAACAAACAAACAAAAACAA